AGGAAACAGAGCAGTGAATTTTCAGCTGGGATCCAACTGGAGGTCTGTCTCCCTTCAGAGCACTGCTCTTCCTCAATGTGAAAGTTACTACACAGAAAGTAAAAATTCTGGACATTTTTTTGTTGTTGTTTGTTTTTTGAGACGGAGTCTCGCTCTGTCGCCCAGGCTGGAGCGCAGTGGCGCGATCTCAGCTCACTGCAAGCTCTTCCTCCCGGGTTCATGCCATTCTCCTGCCTCAGTCTCCTGAGTAACTGGGACTACAGGTGCGAGTCACCAAATGCGGGTAATTTTTTATATTTTTAGTAGAGACAGGTTTTCACTGTGTTAGCCAGGATTGTCTCGCTCTCCTGACCTCGTGATCCGCCCGCCTTGGCCTCCCAAAGTGCTGGATTACTGGTGTGAGCCACCGTGCTGGGCCAAATTCTGGAAATTTATAACAAACATCTTAAAATGCCACTGTGATGTATGAGATAGTGTTCTTAAAGCCCAAGGTAAAACATTTCGTGGCTTAAAGCACACATGCACATACATGCACACACACACACACACACACACAATGGCTTGTACACATCTCAACCATATAAATGTGTAAAAACTGTTGGGATAAAAAGTTATGCAAGCCGGCCAGGAGTGGTGGCTCACGCTTGTGATCCCAGCACTTTGGGAGGCCGAGGCGGGTGGATCATCTGAGGTCAGGAGTTCAAGACCAGCCTGGCCAACATGGTGAAACTCTGTCTCTACAAAAAATTACAAAAATTAGCTGGGCATGGTGGCGGGCGCCTGTAACCCCAGCTACTCGGGAGGCTGTGGCGAGAGAATCGCTTGAACCCGGAAGACAGAGGTTGCAGTGAGCCAGTATTGCACCATTGCACTCCAGCCTAGGCAACAAGGGTGAAACTCCATCTCAAAAAAAAGAAAAAAAAAAAGTTATGCAAGCCATTTAAAATGTCTTCAAATGTCTATTCGCTTTCTTAATCTGAAACACAAGGTTTATATCAGGAAGTGCCTGGAAAGTGAAGAATGGCTAAGTTGGACTACTCTTGTTCCCTGTTAGGAGATTAGAATATGCTCCAAGTCTGTAACCACCAAATTATTTTTCATTAAGCATAAAATCGATAACTAGAAATGCTAAGATACAAATGAAAAACTACATTGTATATAAAGAACTTTTTACTTCTGTACCATTTCCCTGCCAAAAAAGAAACAAAATAGGAACACATGGTTGTTACATGGCTTTCATTCTAGTGAACTGGTTTCATCCCATGAGTCTACCTCAAGTCAGCAGTCAGGACTTGCAGACTACCTCTGCTACCAATCTGCTGTCTTAATTTACACAGATCTCTTCACTTTTCAGCACCTCGGTGTCCTTACCTATCAAATGACAATAATATCTGATCTGCCAATTTCATTCAGTTGAAATCAATGTTTGGTGACAGCAATGGCGCTTTGTCTATATAGGGAATTACGACTAGTGGGCTACGATAATGGGGTGTGCTATTTAACTAGATGAGTTGGTGGGGAGGGATGTGTAGTGGTACTGTTAACTTTTTCAAACTGCGATTACACCAGCCTCATCCTTTGAGCCTCATAACCACCCTGGAAATGAGTGGAACAACTATTAACAGATAAAGAAGTACAGGGTGGCTATGTGGGTAGCCTCATGTCATACTGTAAGTTAGGGACTGAGCCTAGAAATCCAATTTTCCCAAAACGTGCTCCAGTGTTTTGCTTTTTTTTTTTTTTTTTTTTTAAAACTCTGCTGACTCAACAGTGTAGCCCATTGGTTAGGAAGGAGGAAGTAAGGGCTAATGGGGGCCTCCATTCTGAATAAATCCAACAAAGATGCAAACGTCCTGAGTTGATGAATTAGCAAGTCAACTCTCTTTGCTGACCTGAAAGCCAGAGTTTATGAAATGAAACCATATACCTTGATCTCTGGGAGCTGCATAACTTCGGGAAAGACCTCGATGCAGTTGGAGTGAGCAATCACAGTGTGCACGCGCCTGCAATTCATGATCGTTGTTGGGATGGCTTTCAGCTTATTCCCACTGAGATCAATTTCTTCAAGTTCCTCCAGTTTCGCCATTTTACTAAAAAAAGAGAAAATAAAGCAATTTAAAAGAAAATAATATATGATGAGAATCAAAGGATGAATTAAATTGCTATGACTTTAAGGATTCATTTGTAACAGTCATTTTTACAAACAAGACCATTTCTTCTCTATCATTTTGGAGTACTGAAATATTTTAACACCTCCTTTCCCACTACAGAACAAAAACTATTCAACTCTTCAAATTGTCAACAAGAAGGAAAATGGGTGCCCTTTTCCTCTTAAAAGTCTGTGTGGAAATTAAGTTACCCTGGCAATAATCACGTTACTGTATAGCTTGGTCTGAACACTAATGAAAATACTATTGAAATGGGTCAAAAGCCAGCATTAATCCAATATAACTGCCTTAAAAGAGCTCAGAGAGTATGATTTCTTTGTAGTGGCACTGAAAACTCAAGGGGGAGGTAGAGAACAGATCTATAGTTCATATTAAGATAAGCTTTTTCTTCAACCTCCGCTCCCCCAATTCCTCTGACATCACTGATGAATACAAAGTGGTGGTAAGGAGCAAGGGGTGTTAAAAGCCCATATGGATCACCTCTTTGACTTCTGGCAGAGCGCAAATTCACACCAGGGCCAAAAGACATTTCTCTCAATTGTTCTAAACATCTACCAAGAAAGAATCTCTCCAACCTTATCTAATAATATGTTCTAATGTAATTAATTTAATATTTCTGTTTAAGAATGTCTTTTATTGTTCAATCTTCCTCATCGATAATCTTCATCAATAATTACAATAACTAAAGAAAAATTCCAGAATCAGGGTTTCTTGCATTCTTTATAACTTTGAAAGAAAAACCAACACCTCCACCTCTGCAATCACTGTAATAGTATCTGGCACTGTTTTGACCCTCTTTCCACTCCAAGAAGCACAGGATTCCCCATTAGTGTGACTCAGACTCATAAGGTGAATAATAGTTTAAATTTTTTTGGTATCATTTCTACCTGTTACAGTTTCATTTGTCACAGTACACTTTTAAACAATTTAACAAAAAAAGCTGTATTATTTTTCTGTCATATTTCAAATATAAAGATTATCTTGTTGATAAGATACAGTAAAAACTAAGTTTTTATCTTATGAAGTCAGACTTTTTAGTATCATATACATCCAGTATGGTATCAGAATATACCACAAACAATCTGTACACAGACTATGAAGTAATTCATCTATGATAGCCCGAATTTCTAAGAATATTATTTAAATATGCTGTCATCATATTTTGAAAGCAATATAGTGATATGGTTTGGATTATTTGTCCCCTCCAAATCTCATGTTGAAATGTGATTCCCAGGCCGGGCGCGGTGGCTCAGGCCTGTAATCCCAGCACTTTGGGAGGCCAAGACGGGCGGATCACGAGGTCAGGAGATCGAGACCATCCTGGCTAACACGGTGAAACCCCGTCTCTACTAAAAAATACAAAAAACTAGCCGGGCGAGGTGGCGGGCGCCTGTAGTCCCAGCTACTCGTGAGGCTGAGGCAGAAGAATGGCGTGAACCCGGGAGGCAGGGCTTGCAGTGAGCCAAGATTGTGCCACTGCACTCCAGCCTGGGCGACAGAGTGAGATTCCGTCTCAAAAAAAAAGAAATTTGATTCCCAATGTTAGAAGTGGGGCCCAGTAGGGGGTGTTCAGGTCATGGCAGCAGATACCACATGAATGGTTTGATGCCCTTCCCATGGTAATAATTGAATTCACATGCTGTGCATTCACACAAGACCCTGGCATCTCTTTTGCCCTCTCTCTCACCATGTGACACAATGGCTCCCCTTCACCTTCTGCCATGATTGTAAGCTTCCTGAAGACTCACCAGAAGCAGATGCCAGCCCTGTGCCTTGAAACTAATGGGTAATGGTGCATGAAAAATGATTAAAAGCACAGAAAACAGGCCCCCAGACAAAAAGTTAAAGAAATTTCCAACTCACAACATAAAAAGAAGGTGGCAAAAGATGTGAAGACAAAATGACTAGATGGTGGTCACGTTCTTTAATTCAGCAACCATTTAAGTGTGGGCCTTGTGTGAAATGTGAGGCTGAGGGAAACAGCAAGGTCACAGACCCAGCTCTTAAGGTGCTCTGGTTTGCAGGGGAGCTACTGAGCCACATCACAACCACAGGGAGACAGAATTCATTCCTAGATGGATTTTTTCCAAGGTGTGTTAAAAGTTTCTCTCCACTCAGCGTGGGTCATTACACCTGGCATGGGTCACTGGGGGTATATCCTCAGAATTAGAGCTGATGATCCTTTCCTCTGCAGGGTTTAGACATTCATCATCTGAAAGAAGACAGTGAGCCCTTTCAGATAGGTTGCTGTTATGTGATTATCATGGTTTTTTCCAAAAATATAATTTCCCCATTCCATAGTGAAGTAAAAGTAGATGGAAGTAAGCATAAAATATTTTAATCATTACTGTCAAATGAGGAGGAAAGTAAGTATTTCGTTACGCCAAAAACAGAGCAATACTTTAAGTCAACACATACATGGGCCTTCCTTCTCAGCAAGGGCTTGAATAGCGTGGTAGCCCTGAAGGCAGCAGAGGGAGGCTATGATAGTGTTTTGGTCTAGCCCCAGTGCTGAGTTACAGTTACCACAAGCAGAATACCAGAAGGGTTAGTGTTTGCTTCTTTGATGCGTGGGTGTGTGTTCCAAGCCCTAACTTGTTAGATGGATAAAAGCCAATGAAATGGAAACAGGGTAAACCCTCATGGCAGGCTCAGCACATAGATTCACTCAAAGCTAGATATAATGTCACCGCTCCCCAAAAATTAGAAATTAAAGTAAAAACAAATTAAAAATGGACTCTTTTGAGCCATAATTTGCAATGTTACAGTTTCTATGGTAGTAGAGTCTACCACTGCTCTGTACATCGTAAGTATGAATATAAAAGTTGGTAGATAATGAAGGATTTTCAGGTTCCTGGTTTACATTCTAATTCCCACATACCCTATTAGGTTAATGTTTTTGGAAACTTTATTATTTATTTTTTAATAGATAGGGTGTCACTATGTTGCCCAGGCTAGTCTCGAATTCTTGAGCTCAAGTGACCCTCCCACCTCAGCCTCCTGAGTAGCTGGGACTACAGGCACGCACCGCCACACCTGGCTCTAGGATAATAGTTTTTAAAAAAATTAATCTGACTAGTTAAAAAGAAGTAAAAGAAAAAACATACCTGCTAAACAACACATTTTATTTCAAAATCTTAAGAACATTCTTGTGATTAGGTCTTTGGACACGTATGAGGAAAACCAATCTACTTCTCTTCAGGGAAATGTCATCACAGCTTATATAAAGGAAACTGTGAATGGAGCAGGAACAAGGAAACAAACTTGATATCACCTGGGAAATAAATATTTCAGCTTTCATCTTTCTATGAATACACTTTGAGAAACCCAATTCAGAACACAGCTTTACGATTCTCCTTTACCTTGCTGGAAAACTCTGAAGTCGGTTATAGGCCATGTGAAGGATCTTCAAATGCGGGTGTCCCGTTAACAAGGGCACACATTTGTCTGTGAGGCTGTTATTTGTCAAATACAACTCTTGTAAGATACTGTTTGTCTCTTCAGAAAGCGTGGCTGGAGGAAGGCTTTCCAGTTTGTTCGCAGATGCGTTCAGGAATCTCAGGCTACAATGACAAAATGTAACAAAACGCTATTGAAGTCACAAAACTCCTCAAGAAACCTAGAAGCTTTGATACCAGGCATATTAGAAGCTGGGATTAGAAACATGAATTGAAAAGACAAGCTCTGGCTTCAAGAAGTTCAGTTAGCAAGTATTTGTATCTGTGATCCATTAACTATGATGAACACAATAGCTATCTATATGTATTAAATACAGAGATACAATCAAGTTTTATGGAAGCACAAAGTTAAGAGGAAGGCAATTATTTCTATAGTTGTCGGGGAGTGGAAGAGAAAGTGATATGGTAAAGTTAATATTCTGACTTAAGGAAGAGAAAAACAATTTCCTATTTTGTAATCAAAAGTTCTTGCTAAAGCAGGAGGATGCCAGGAGTTTGAGACCAGCCTGGGCAACAAAGTAAGATCCTGCCTCTATAAAAATTAGGTGAATAAATAAATAATAAATGGTTCTTATAGTACTAAAACAGGTATTAGATCACAATACAACTAAATCACATAGTGACTTGAGTCCTCTTCAGTATAAGGTCCAATGCACATTTTACTGACTTTCACAAGTGCAGGAGATAATTTGCTCTGTCTTAAAACAACATAATATGATGTAGCAATGAGAATAAAGAACTAAAACAGCATGTATCAACAGGATGAATCTCACAAACATATAATGACCAAAAGAAGCCAGATAAAAGAGGAGACCCACTGTATGATCCCATAACTACATAAAGTTCAAAGTCAGGCAAAATTACTCTGTAGTAACAGAAGTCAGGATGGCAGTAACTCTTAGGTGGGGAGGGAAAGGAGGCAGTATCCAGGAGATGGCGTGTAACGTTTCAAATATCATAATGTTCTTAGGTAGGGAGGGAAAGGAGGCAGCATCCAGGACAGGGCGTGTAACATTTCGAATATTGTAATGTTCTTAGGCAGGGAAGGAAAGGAGGCAGCATCCAGGAGAGGGCGTGTAAGGTTTCAAATATTGTAATGTTCTTAGGAAGGGAGGGAAAGGAGGCAGTATCCAGGAGAGGGTGTGTAACGTTTCAAATATTGTAATGTTCTGTTTCTTAGTCCAGATGCTGGTTACACAAGTGTGTTCACTTTGAGATGATGCATCAAGTGCTACACTTATGATCTGGCCACTTTTCTGTACTTATATTGTACTTAAATAAATTTCACATTAAAACAAACAATATACATGCTGCCACAGTTTCCAGATGCTAGAGTGAAAAAGCATAAAGGATAAAGCATAAAGAATGGTTTTATAACTAAGATAACAAGTCGTCAAAAACAATAAATAAAAAATCTTTCACGGTGATTGTGAAATGTAGTTAAACGCACAATGCAAAGCTGGGGAATGGCAACAAATCCTTGCTGTGATCAGGTTCCAAATCACTCCAAAGGGACGGACTGTGTCACACTCAGGAGTCAGAGATGACCCTCCTGATTCACGACGAATGTCCAACTGTGCAGCTGCAGCAGGTGGGAAAGAGACAGTGCTCAGTACATAGGACCTGCCTACAAGAGTTAGAAGGGTCAAATCTCCCATGCCTCTCCCTGGCCCCCAGATCAACCCTGTTGATGAGCCACACTATTCCCTCACTTCAATCACTTTGGTTTGAAATTTTCACCATTCAATTCAGGACTATTCTGCCATTTCTTAAAAAAAAAGAAGAAGAAGAAAATCATCCTTTAAAATAATACAAAATACCAAGCACAGTTATTTTTAATCTTGGATACGAAAAAAAAAGGCTATTAGGAGTCCTCACCAGGACTGTCACTCCAAGCTCTCAGTCCACTAATTTAAAACTCTTCAATCTCATATAACCCCTTCAACACACAAACACCAACTCCATTACTTATCTGAGGAAAAGCAGCTTCCCCAAAATAGAACATTTTCCATTAAAGAAACACGTATTCCGTTGACATTAAAAAAAAAAAAGGAAGTTAGAGAAGGGCTGTCCAGACCATAAATAGTCATGGGAAATTATAGTCGTGTGTGCTACAGAGAAGGAAATAAAGGTCACTCTTGCAGTTTCTGAAATGGTTTGGAACTAGGAAGGAAACAAGTTTCAGCACCATAGTTGTTTACCACTGCTGTTTAGAGTATTTTTATAAGTCTGTCTTTTTAGACCCCATTTAGACCACCTAATTTCCTGTTAAGAATTTCTTTAGTGTAGCATTAGGATAAATTACAATGTAAGAAACAAATTTTATTGCCCTAAAATATCATGGACTAGTGTTGGGCTGGGAAATTATATAAAATAATTTCATTAAAATAGAATTCTCAGCTGGGCGCAGTGGCTCACACCTGTAATCCCAGCACTTTGGGCAGCTGAGGCAGGTGGATCACCTGAGGTCAGGAGTTTGAGACCAGCCTGGCCAACATGGTGAAACCCCCAGTCTCTACTAAAAATACAAATATTAGCTGGGTCTGGTGGCAGGTACCTGTAATCCCAGCTACTCGGGAGGGTGAGGCAGGAGAATCACTTGAACCCAGGAGGCAGAGGTTGCAGTGAGCCAAGACTGCACATTGCACTCTAGCCTGAGCAACAAGAGCAAAACTCTGGCTCAAACAAAACAAAAGAAAAAGAAAAAAGACAAAAATAGAATTCTCTAGGAAATATGTAGTTACACACACACACACATACACACACATGAGACAGATAAAACAAAGTGAATTCATGTTTGCATACTTTTCAGGCCAGAAAAAGAGGGAATGTTTTAAAAACAGACAAGTGAATGTTCATCTAGAAAGCTGCCAAGCAACTTAAGAAACCCCTCATGGCATCTGAATAAAGAGAGGAAAGTGATTTCCTCAAAGATTTATCCTCTCATCTTTTTGAAATTTGTCTGTAATTAAGGAACTATATACCTTTTATGCAAAATTAAGGGGGAAACTGCCAGCATCATCCGCCTCCAAGAAATGAAACTAGTTAGCTGAAACCACATGAAGTGGTTCCAAAGGACATCATCTGAACTGCATAAAGTCTCACTTAATCACCTTGTAGGTTAATAGCCAAAGGGCAAACAACTGGACTAAAAATATTTTTTATTATCACAGTATCAGGAAAATTAAATTCAGTACCCATTCACTTAAGCCATTCTTCCTAAAACCTCACAACGTTTCAGCAAGAGACAACTTAAATTGCTTTAATAGTCTACATTTCATCCTTCCACCAGAATGAACGAATACTTTAGCAAAGTTTCTCCAGGATGGATAACAATTTTAGTAAATAAATAGGCTCCTGAACCTCACGCTCTGCTTTCAATCTTGCAAAAAAGCTAAATTGTTAAAGGGCTGAGTCAGGTCTCAACTCACTATGATATGATAACTATCCTCAAGCTTCTTCCTTACAGAATTTTGTAATAACTATACTATAAAAAGATGGTTTAATGTGCCAACAGCTGTTTCATGCTTCATCTATATAACATTTTCACTATGCAATCCTCTTCTAATTAGAGAAAAAGCAGTAACATATCACCATTTTCTTTTCATTTGTAAGGTACTCTGTGGATATCACAGATCTTTCCTCCTTCTTCTTCTTTTTATTTTTTTTTTCTTTTTTGACAGAGTCTTGCTCTGTTGCCCAGGCTGGAGTGCAGTGGCATTTGGCTCACAGCAACCTCTGCCTACTGGGTTCAAGCAATTCTCCCACCTTAGCCTCCCGGGTAGCTGGGATTACAGGCATGCACTACCATGCCCAGCTAATTTTTGTACTTTTAATAGAGAGAGGGTTTCACCATGTTGGCCAGGCTGGTCTCCAACTCCTGACTTCAAGTGATCCACCTGCCTTGGCCTCCCAAAGTGCTGGGATTACAGGTGTGAGCCACTGCACCCGGTCACTATTTTCTATCTCATTTGATTTTTCCATCATCCCAGAAATATACCCTCTCATATTTCACGAAAGACAGAAATCAAAGCGGAGAAAGTCACATTATTTGGCAATGGCTCAACAGTAACTAGTGGCAGAGACAGAAATAAAACTCGGATTTCATCAATCTCAAGTCCACAGTTTTCTATCATGTGTCTCCAAAATTCAAATGTTGAAAAATAATTATAAAAACCTTTTTGTGGGGACTTTTTTTTTTTTTTTTTGAGATGGAGTCTCGCTCGCCTAGGCAGGAGCGCAGTGGCGAGATCTCGGCTCACTGCAAGCTCCGCCTTCTGGGTTCACGCCATTCTCCTGCCTCAGCCTTCTGAGTTGCTGGGACTACAGGCGCCCGCCCACCATGCCCGGCTAATTTTTTGTATTTTTAGTAGAGACAGGGTTTCACCGTGTTAGCCAGGATGGTCATAGGTCCTTTTTTTTCTAAAAAAGCTGGAGGGTCAAGCTGGGCACCTGCATGTAATGTGAAGACCACGTGTGCACAGCATTTCAAACTCAATTCTTATAACAAGTTAGTAAACAGCACAGTACTCAAGAACTTCTCTCAGCATAAAGTTCAAAAGCTGCAGAGAAAAGACACACAGATATGGTTCCTGCCCTAAAGTGTTTGGAAAGTCACCCGCAACAGCAGTGAGACAAATCCATTTCCTGCTTCTTGAGCAACTGCTCTGCTCTCCTTGGCACATTCTGTCCATTTGACTCATTTATATTTTTTTGTTTTGTTTGCTTTTTAGTAATTTCCAACACACCCTTAAATTTTACAAATTCTCTCTTTGAAACAGGGCACAGGATTTGGTACCATAACAAATAGATTTACCTATTTGTAGACACACTATACACCATTAAAAATCCATATGGTCACAACTGTCTAACCCCAGCAAAACTCTTACTTTTAGGCAACCCTCTGATTTCTGTCTCCAAAGCATTCCACAAGTGTAAACATTCTAAGTTTCTTATTATTGCTTATTTTTACAACAAAGTACTTTTGACAGTTTCATCTATCTTCACAAGGCTGACACTTCACGTTGTATTTCATTATCAGGCCTCCTCAGTCGCCTCCAATCAGTCTTATTATCTTAAATGACCTTGATGTTTTTGAAGTGTAC